CTGGAATGTGATTCTCCCCAGTATTTTGCTCAGTAGTTATTACCCAGTCTGGCAGAATCAAGGTGATTCTTGTCACAGCAGCCTGGTAGCTTTCCTGTGGCGATAATCAAAGGGGATGAGTACACACAAGAACATGGCTCAGGGTGTCTTATAGGTTTGGTGATTTCAGTAAATCACAACTAAGTTTTAAACTTGTTGATGATGAGGGATTTTGTTTTTACTATTCATTGAAGCAAAAATTGAAAGTGGATGGCACACTTCTCTTTTATATGTAAAAAGTTTTGCCTTGATCACAGTTTGAAGTTTACTCATGAGAGTTTATTTTCCCCTACTGCTTGGAGAAAACCATATGCTCATTAATTTTTAAATAGATATTATGTTTTGAATCCTGTAATTTGTGCTGGAAATGTACATGTAAAGTTTTTATAAAATTGTGACTGAACACATCAATAGTATTAAATGTATGTGTGGATCAGTTGGCTTTTGTCATAATAATGCTCATGTTAGAGTTTGGGTTCCTTGGGAAGCAGATTCTGATGGCGGTTTTCATGCAGAAAGCTTGTTAGGGAGTATTCTCGGGATCAACATCTGCGGAAGAGAAGGGAAAGAGGCAAGATTGGATAGTGTAGAGGTGGGCTATGAGACAGTCTGAATGAAGGCTTCAGCAGACTCCATGGGGTACGGTAAAGAGTTGTAAAGGCTGGGCCTTTATACCCCTGCATCATTGGATGCAGGCTGCCCCAGAAGGGGGAGTATGACCACAGGCAATGAATCTTTCTTAAATTGAGATAGTTCCTCAAGAGACCAACTGCTGAGGGTTGTCTGCTCACAGCACTTCTATCAGTTGGGTTAATAAGTTCTTTATTTTCGAAGGGGAAAACACAGCATCGATTGCACTGCCCCAAATTTCAGTGGCTTATAACAACAAGCATTACTTTTTCATATACTGATCTGCCGATTGTCTAGGATTTTGCTGAACTAGAATGGGCAAACGTAGGTGCTAAGCTACAGGTGGGTACAGATCTGCTTCACGTCTCTCTCATTCTCTATGGACAAAAGTCAGTAGCACAACAGGACAAGGTCAAGTGCACAAACACTTGTCAAGGCTCTGTTATCTCACATGCCTGAACATCCTACTGGTCAAGTGAGTCACATGGCTAAGCCCAGCATCAATGGAGTGGAAGAATACTTTCCTATGGAGTCCAGGGGAGGGAGTGAATATTTGCTGTACAATAATCCAACCTACCATAGTATGATTCTGTTTAATGAACAAAAGAGAATTCCACTGCCAAGATGTCCTTGTCAGTCTTTCTCCTAAAATACTTCTGTTTGTCATCTCCATCTGTTATGAATGAGATGAAATGTGACAACACCTTCACTGCTTTTTGGCAAAGAGAACAGCTTGTGCTGGCTTCTTATAATTTTTAAAATTTAGATTTGAATGGATCTTGCAATGCATATCTGTATCTCTATTGAAAAGATGGTATCTTTACAAAGTATTTATCTGGAGGGAAGAATTTTAGTTATTTCATGCTTAGTTTTAAAATTCTTTTTTTTATTTTAAATTGAGTTATACTTATAGTAATGTGTGTATAGAATGTCCTGCACTTTGTTGCACAACTTATGTTTACATAAACATCCATGTAACAACCACCAGATCTAGATAGAGAACATTAAGGGTAACCCTAAAGTTTTCCTCATGCCCCTCCCTATTCAGTATTATTTCTTCCCAGGTAATCATTATTCTGACTTCTGTCAACATCGATTATTTGTTTCTTTTCTCAAATATGTCTGGCTCTTCCAGTTTTTATTATGTTACTGAGAAACCATAAGTCATTGGTTATTAGTCAAACTACTGTGTGCTTTCTTAGCTTATTTCCTTTATTTAGCTTTATTTTCTTTACGGGATGTTGTCTCTTCTATTATAGAAACTATGTTCGTGTTTTACTTAAAGCTTTTAATGGTAGGATTAGACTATATAAGAGTTCATTCAAAAGAAACTCCTGTGTGTATCAGAAAGACGGGATTAATATGGACTTCTAGTAAATAATTTCATCCTCTGGTTTCCTTTGTGAAGTTGATCATAGATTTCAATAAAATCATTCTCTAGGAATTCCACAGAGCACATGCCTGATTGGAGATTTACTTTCTACACACACTGATTGGTACTGTACTCTCCTCTGGGCTATTGTATATATGTGGGCTTTGAAGGTTTTATGTCTCTTGGTCAGCTAGAAGTCTGACATATTCTTTCCCATTTGATTTGTGACACAGTGCAGGAGCTCTTCTTTCAAAAGCAAATGTTTCCTTCAGTGTTCAGTAACAAAAACACACTATTTAAAGAACCAAGCCTTTAAAACCACTTATATAATTCTTTGAGATTTTTGTCATAATCACTTATAAAGGCCAAGATATTACTTTGGTTCTTTGAAACCTTCTTAGATAACAGTCCATCATCATTTTTAAAAGTACCTATATGTTTTAGTCTGTTTTGTGTTGCTATAACAGAAATACCTGAGACTGGATGATTTATAAAGAAGAGAGGTTTATTTGGCTTACAATTCTGGGACAGCTGCATCTGGCATGGGCCTCAGGCTGTTTCTACTCATGACGGAAAAGTGGCAGGCAGCTGGCAGGTACAAGCAGATCACATGGCAAGAGGAAGCAAGAGAGAGAGAGAAGATGCCAGGGTCTTTTTAAGCAACAAGATCTTGTGGAAACTAATAGAGCGAGAACTCACTCATTAATTCCCCCCTCCCCCAGGGAGAGCATTAATCCATTCATGAGAGATCCGCCCCCATGACTCAATCAGTTTCCAACACTGCCACATTGGAGAACAAATTTCCACATGAGGTTTGGAGGGGACAACACATCCAAACTCCATCACTATAAGAAAAGCTTTTTCATTCGTTTAACATTAGCAATAGACTGAAAATCCACTCATGCTTTGAGTGGTTGGTATAATATCAGCTGCGAAAAACACATTTAATTCTGTGATTTTTGGTTTTAGAGCACCTGTTAATTATAAAAATTAACCTCTTGAAGAATTTCAGCATCACAGTTAATTTGTATAATTATTGATTTTTGAATACTATTTAATCTTTTAGTTTTGTTATCTATTATAAAGATAGGATGTTTAAAATAATAATTGTTTATGGAAATATGTTACTAGCTGAAGGGATCCCTAAAAGCTTTTGATCTTCTTTTTCATTTTTATAGGTCAGTTATTCAGAAACAATAATTATTTAGTTCCAGAGATGCTGTAAAAGTATATATTACAACTAAACTGTAGAGTCTGTCTAATGAGGTTAAGTAGAGAAGCAGAGTTTAGTTGATTCTGAAATTTGCAGAGTACAAGCAAAGAATCGAGATGAATTCGGACATTTTTGCAACCTCTGCTAAAGAGAGCTTCAATGGAAAGTTGGAAGTTATCTTTCCAGGGTTGTGACACATACAATAAAAGGTTACATGTGGTCAGTGGCCTTAGCTGTGATTATAATTAGGAAATTGTTAATGAAATACCCACTTTCTTTTGTTTTGTGGAATTCAGTGATTTATTTTAATTGAGATGTCAACCCTTGTTAAAGCAGTTAGTTATTGTACCTAAACATGTCTACATATTCTAAATACTGCCTTTAGCTCTATCAACAAATTTATATTCTATACCCTTATTCAATGTCTTAGTTAATGTACCACAATGTAAATATGTGTATTTTTAATGTATGCTTTTTCTAATAATTTTTTCTCTTTAATAGATACTAGTTGATATTCGAGCTAGTTTTATGCTCTTGCACAGTAGGGAGCTTACCATAGTCTCCTACCAGATCTTTAGGGATTACTTAAAAACTAAATTTTAAAGAGATGGGTTGTTGCATAGATGTGAAGCTATCCCTACTCATGAAATTTTTAATAAATAGCAGAAGATACTTTGTGTAAAAGGTGCAAGACTTTGCATTCATGTGTTAGAAAGTCTGGGTGGGGGAAGGAAGAAAATAGAACTAGTTCTCACTTGTTCAAGGATTTGATCACCTTGCCAACCAAATCTTTGCCACACCTACATGCTTATCTGGGACACAGGCAGAGCCGATTGTCCTGTTTATTTTCTTGCTACACATACAAGTATATGTACATGTTATAAATGAGTCTTTCTCTCTAGTAGAAAAAAACATCAAAGATGTTTTCAAAACTTAAAGTTTTGAAGTTTTGGAATCTAGTTTACTTATTGCTCTGATTGGAAGAAAATGCTTTTTAAAATAATCTAGACCTAAGAAACTTTTGCAAAAAATTGATTATATGTTCTAATCCATCTTTCAAATTATTCTTCAAATCACACTCCCTTAAAATATATAGGAAACTCATACTGGCTTAGCTTTTCCAAGCAAGCATGGTCATCTATTCTTGATCTTCCAAAATCTTAACCAAATTACCATTTTAACATGGATATGTAATTTTGTTTTGTTTTGTCTGTTCAACATGAAAGTATAATTTTGTTTTGTCTTAACACCATCATACTCTGTTTCATTGTTTTCTTTCCATCTGTCATTCTTAGTACATCATTCTTTTAATGCAACCTGAGGATGTTTTTTATCACTCTCTGATACATAACCTACATATTTTTCGCTGGTCAAGGAAGGCTGTACCAACCTTGCACAATATCCGAAGTGATTTTGGCGTTTTTAACCAAAAGTGTGGTGAAATTTACTGGGTCCCCAATTTAATACTTTGAGGTCTTGCCTCTTCATGACCTCAACAAATAGATATGTTTTTAAAAATACATACCTTAGAAGGTACAAGTCAACATTTTCTTAAAGCAATAAATGATATTTTAAATAATTATTTAGTAATCTGTTTATATTTATTCTTAATTTGGTTATTTAAAAAAATAAGTGCTACCTTATTAACTAAGTACATCATTATGCATTTTAGTGTTTCTATTAAATGATCTAGCATGTTTGCATTTCTGCTTGATGTTTTCTATTCATTTTGTTTGTTTTCTTTAGTTTCATGCTATGGATACCTTGTATAGACATGGCTATGATTTGAGCAGTGCAATTAGTGTCTTAGTACCACTTGGAGGACCTGTCTTATGCAGAGATGAAATGGAAGAATGGTCAGCCTCTGAAGCTAGCTTATTTGAAGAGGCACTGGAAAAATATGGCAAAGACTTCAATGACATACGTCAAGACTTTGTAAGTAGAAAATGGTTAATAAATAAAATGTTGGAGTGGGAATATTTTATCCATTTGAGAAATTTGGTAAACCTTGTAGTATTCATTTAGCAAGTCTGTGACTTAGCAATTTTTATTTCCTCAAAATAGAATATAGGCCTGTCTTATAAAGGGATAAGTTGATGTTTTTTTCTAGGGAGTAATTGTAAGACCCAGTACGGAGTTCTTGGTGTAAACTGTGGCACTATGAATTTATCCTCTTTACCTCTCTCTGAGTTCCAAGTTAAAATATGGACTGCACTTCTAACCATTTGTGCTGATTTCTGCTTTTAGGCTTGTTACTCTCCTTTAAACCTTCTGTATTTTTCTAGTTGTACTAATTGTTGAGCCTGAATTTGATGCAGATTTTTATGGATGATATATATGGAAGTGACCTTAACCAAGCAGAGTAGGAGAATTTGCATTATGGATTTTTGATCTTTGACTCTTCTTGATAATTATCCTACTTATATTTTTAAAAATTTATTTTGTTCCAACTTTATTGAGCTATAAATGAAACGTAAAAATTGTATATATTCAAGGTGTACAATGTGATGATTTGATGTACATGTGCATTGTGAAAATATTACTATAATTAACACATCCATCACCATACTTAGTTACTGTGTATATGTGGGGGGGAGGGGAGGACACTTAAGATCATCTACTCTCTTCACTTTACTTCTTAAATACCATGTAATCTTTTCTACTGTATTTTTTGTCTTTGTGTTTATGGACTTGCTGTCTTTAGTTAAGCTTAAAATCCCTGTGAAATGGGGAAATTTCTGTTTGAAAAGTTCATAAATAGCTTACTATGGAAATCATCCTTTATTTTAAATTATGAAAATAGAATCTTTATAGACTGTCATGTATTTGACATGAGGCAGTATTCCACCTTTTTTGTTGTTGTGACTATTCTAAATTATTTCTGAAGCAAAATTATTGCTTATCAATATGGGTTGGTACATTAAATCCTAAACATAGTAATTAAAGCTGTTAGTGTCACTGACATTTGTTGTTCTGGCAAAACTTCACTCATACCCAAATTGCTGTATGCCATGATTTAAATTTGTAGGATGCGCAGCTGGGAATTTAAAATGCATTGGTGGTATTTAGCTTCAGATGGTCAGAATAATGTAACATTGCAATGTTATTAATATAGCAGTTATTAATATAATAGAGCTGCATCACTACATGGAAATCGCAAGAACAAAATTCCCCGACGAACAAATCCTGCAAGTCTGATAAAGGAGTAGAAGATGAGAAACACTAAATTAAACTACTTTTCCCTTCACTGAGTGTGATAGCCTTATTTTATGTTCTAGTGATCATTCTGGACTCAGTTAAATTCAACAAACATTTATTGAGCACCTGTATGCACTCGGCATTCAGCAGAAACTTAATGTGGTCCGTACTTCAGCAAATTAGTTCATAGTCAAAATCAAGAGATTGAAAGATACACAAGTAAAATATAATGTAATTATTTCTGTCAGTGGATGAACAAGTATTATGGGAGTATCAGGAAAGACTAGTTGTGCCAGTCAAATTGGGACAGAGTTAACTGTCATTTTAGCTGGATCTCTGTTGGAAAATGGAGAAAACAGCAGATGGCAAAGTATAAACTGAGGTACGAATCTTATATACAGCATTTTTAGGCATTTAACAGGTCTAGGAGACAACTTTGTGAAGAGATTGGTGCAATATATTGAACATAGAAACTGACATTGTTATGAGATAAAGTTACTGTATGAAAATGCGTGTAACAGTAATAATGCTGTTAGATGGGTTTTTTTGGTAGTACCTTCATGGTCTAACAAAATTTTTGTAAATTGGTAGCATGGTATATATTAGTTTTGCTTTTGTTCTATTCTATCTTGTTTGAATAGAAAGCTTATTAAGTACTAGGGAAGATGAAGAAACAGACTTTAGACTGGGCTTCCAAGAATGTCTCTGAAAGTCACACTTCAAAAACAAGCTAACTGAGGATACTGATGTCCCTGCTGTGATCAGAAACCCAGCAGCCAAACCAAGAAGGTACCACTCTACCTCTGGCTCCGAGATGCTCTGTCTCTGCTGTGATCCCCACCAGCAGGATGCTTTTTCCCATCTCTTGCCATTGTGTCTGTAGTGCAGTCTAAATTATGTCAGGAGTCTTAGATGCAAGGGAATCTGGGAAATGGGGATTTTTAACTCTGCAGACTGCTCTTAGAACATAGTTAGAATGCTTGTTGATGAGCAGCCCACATTAGATTTGTTGTATTTTGGAGACTAGAATTGGCCACTAGTGTCAAAAACCTTAAAGTAAACACAATAGAGTGTCAGGAAGTTAACTGTTGAAAGGGTTTTGTGTTTTTTATAGTAGTGGGTGTTCCCCTCAACGCCTGTACTTGTAAAAGTAATAAATATGCCTAGTAGAAAACAATATCTATCTATCTACTTATGTATCAATTACCTATAATGCCATTACAGGTACATGATGTTGTTGGGGTACTGTATTGCTCAGAGATATTATGACATGAATTTTTAATAAATTCTTTTAGAAATTATCGGGTAGTGCATACAATGAAAACTTCCCTGGGCCTCTTTTCCTCTAGTTCTTGAGCTTTACCTGGGCACTGAACAATGGTCATTTTTTAAAAAGTTCTGTCTCATTCCACTATCCAGAAAGAATCATTGTTATTTTCTGCTTCCAGTGTCTTGATTTTCCCATGTGAACATATATTTTGTATTTGTACATTTGGAAACAGGTTGAGTGGGAGGTACATATTCAAGTATAGATATTCTTATATTTAGTGCTTAATGATAACTTTATTCTGTAAAGTTTAATTTAGCTTATTTTTTAATTTACTCACAGTAAAATTTACTCCTTTTGGTGTACATTTCTATAAGTTTGTGTAAATGCATGCTTGTGTAACCACTACCATGATCAAGACACAGCACAGTTTTGTCAGCCCTCTCTCTGAGGTCTCCCCATTTACAGTCAATCTCTACTGCAGCCATAACCTCTGGCAGCCATTAATTTATTTTCTATCCCTATAGTTTTGCCCTTTTCTGAATGCTGTATAAATGAAATTATATAATAGGTAGGCTTTTAATTTTGGCTTCTTTCACTTAACGCAATGCATTTGGTATTCATCAGCATTGTTGCATGTATCAGGAGTTCATTTTTATTGCTTAGTAGTATTTCATTGTGTAACTACATCACAGTTTGTTTATTCATTCACCTGTTGAAGGACATTTGAATTGTTTCCGGGTTTTAGTGATTATGGATAAAGTTGCTGTTCATGTTTGCCTACAGGTTTTATTGTGAACATAAGTTTTTATTTCTCTTGGGTAAATAGTAGCAGTGGGGTTGTTAGGTCTTATGAAAACTGTACGTTTAACTTTATAACATGTTGTCTGTGTTGATATGGATCAGTGAAGTACATTTTTCAGAATTCCCTTCCCGATACGTTTCCCAGTAGGGTGTGCCACAAGAGTAATTTTTGTGTAGGATTCGGAGAGCAGAAATGGAGAAGCTGTTTTTATAGCTCATATATATCATTTATCTGCTGGCTCACCTTGTTGGCATGAGTCAATGGTGGAACTGCAATCACTATTTCCCCAGGATTCTCCTTCAGTTTCTACGATTCCAGGGTAAGGTGTGTGTGTTCAGCTTCATGAAGAAAGGCCTTGGCTTCTGCAGGACACCCATACTATCAGGGTCAAAAGCAGTGATTACTAACAAAAGTTTTTCCTGTCCTTGGAGGCTCCAGCTCGTGCCGTTGTGGGTTTCAACTTGTTCTATCTCTCCCCCACTTTACATCCATCTTCCTCTCCCAACTGCTTGCCCTGTGAACTCCAAGTTCCAGCATCACATGCAAAGACAACAGCCTCACAGAGAGTGTTTAATCAGCTTCTGTAATTGCATAAGATTAAATCTTTGTAACATATCCTTTATTAAAAGTAAAGATAAAAAAATAAGTAAGTAAATCTGTCTTATTGGTCCTGCTTCTCTGACTGAATTCTGATTGATAAATGAACTGTTTTTCAAAGATGCTGTATCATTTTGCATTCCAACTAGCAAAATATGACAGCTTCAGTTGCTTCATGTCCTCACTAGCACTTGTTATTGTCATTGTTTAAAAGCCATTCTGATCAGTTTGTAGTAGCATCTCATTGTGGTTTTAATTTGCTTGTTCCCTAAAGATTAATTATGTTAAACATATTTTCATGTGTTTCACCTTTGATGTGAATCTTTGTTCAGATCTTTTGCCCATTTAAAAATTAGGTTAGTTTCTTATTGTTGATTTTGGGAGTTCTTTGTGTATTTCATATTCAAGTTTTTTGTCACATATTCTCCCAATCTGCAGCTTTTGTATATTCACCTTTTATTCTGCAGACTTGTTAATCTCATGCAGTAGTTACAGTAGGTTTTTTGATAGATTCTTTAGGGCTCTCTACATAAATAATCATGTTATCTGCAAATAAAGACAGTTCTGTTTTTTACCTCCCATCTGTATGCCTTTTATTTCTTTTTCTTGCCTTATTGCTCTGGCTGGGATCTCCAGTACATTGTTGAAAAGTGGTAAGAACAGCATGTTACTTGTTCCTGATCTTAGGAGGAAATCATTCATTCTTTTACTATTAGGTGTGAGATCAACTGTAGGTTTTAAAATTGTCTATATTTATTGGGTGCCACATGTTGTTTTGGAGTATGCATCTATGTTTATGAGGAGTGTTGACCATTAGTTTTCTTATAATATCTTTGGTTTTATTTCAGTTTAATGCTGGCTTCTTAGAATGAGTTGGGAAGTGTTCTCTTGCTTTCAGAAACTGTATTTATTATTCCTTAAATGTTTGGTGTTATTCACTAATGAAGTCATCTATTTTCTTGGAAAGTTTTTGCACTAGGAAGTCATTTTACTTAATAGATATAGATCTTATATAGTTATCTTTTTATCTTGAGTGAGCTTCAGTATTTTGTCTTTCAGAGGATTTGTCTATGTTTTCTTAAGTTGTCTAGTTTATTGTCATAAAGTTGTTCGTAATATGAGTTCATAATATTCTCATATTATTCTTTTAAAGTTGTGAGATGGGTCCACTCTCTCCTGATACTGGTAATTTGTGTCTTCTCTCTTTTTTCCTGATCAGTTTGGCTAGGAGCTTATCAGTGTTATTGAACTTTGCAAAGAACAAGCTTTTGGTTTGATTGATTTTTCTCTGTTTTCTTTTTCATTGATTTCTGCTTGTGTCTTTATTATTTTCTTCCTTCACATTGCTTTGGACTTAATTGCTTTTTCTTTTCCTAGTATCTTCTTATGGTTGAAGCTTAGATCATTTATTTGAAACTTTTCTTCTGATAAGAGCGTTTATTAGTAGTACAGGTTTGGTTGACAAAACTTTCTTTGAAAAACTTTTTACTATCCCCTTTAAAAAGATGTGCCATTCTTTACAGAATTCACTTTTTTCTTTTTTAGTAATCTAAAGGTGTCTCTCTGTCTGGTGAAATAATTTCTAAAGCCAAATTCCTATTATATAATGTTTCTTTTTCTTTTTCTCAATATTTTCTCTTTACTTTTGTTTTTTAGCAGTTTTACTTCTACAGTGTTGTTGTAATTACTTTACTTGTAGTTCTCTGAGCTTATTAGACCTATAATTTATTGTTTTTTTATTAATTTTTGAGGGGGAAAAAGGTGTCGTGTGCCTTTTCAGCTGGCTCCTTTAATATATTATTTATAGTTATTTTAAACTTCCTATCTGATATTTCCAACATTCGAGGCCATACTGGGGTCTGGGTCTATTGACTACTTTAGTTCTTGACAGTGAGACATTTATTTTCTTGCTTTTTTATATGTCTTGTATTTTTTAATTAGATGAAAGATACTTTGCATAAACAACATAAAATGAATTAAATAGTATTTATACTCTGAAATGAACATACTTCATCTCTTTTTAGGCCATCAGTGTTGGGGATTGAGTCCATCTAGTCAGTATGTTGTGCCAGGTTTGGGTTTTTTAGTTCTAGTTATCCTCAGTGCATCAGTGTACAGGAAGGCCTAAAATTTCACATGCTGTCTTAACATCTTTGAGACTCGTAATGCCTCCAAAGCCTAACTGACTTCCCCTGCTCTTGCCAGATATGTTCTCCACCCAGGGAAAGTCTCCCTACCCAGCTAGTTCCCCTGGCACCTCACTCAGTCCTCAACCTAATGGGTTTCACTTCCTTGCCAGCCTGCAGAATTATTCAAACAAGCCAATCACATTCTCCCATGGGCATTGTCTGCAGGAACCAAGGGACACCCTACCCCCTTGTTACTACTAAGTCTCACTTCCACAGTCCCTGCTGGTTCACACTGTTCCCAATTCAACTCCCATGTAGATCTGCATGGTGTGCAGTGTTCTCTTCCTCTGGGCTGTATATGTGACTAATAAATTGCTGTCAGTGTCATCTGTTTGGTCTTGAGTGCCATTTGTTATGTGTGTTCAGCCATCCTGTATTGTTTTGGGCAATAGATCCCTCCCTCACTGAGGAGCAAATTGGAAGTAATTTGAACAACTACAGATTCAAAATCTTGAAATAGCTATGTTTAAAATGAGGCTTGTAATGCTGAAGAGTTTTTTTGCCCCGTGTTTCTGTCCCAATCTCAGCAGGCTCTGCACTACAGAACATCTCTAATAGAGCTGAGCTGTTGGCTTTAGAGCTGTTTTGTGCCTCCTTGCTCTATTCCAGCAATATGGATGCCTTGTGCACCATTGTCTTTATCCCCACTTAATTCATTTCTGAATTTAGGTCTTACATACATGCATCTGATTGGCAGAAATAAAACACAAGGGACTATTAAAAATATGATGTTTGGCTTTTTAGCCTTTGCATTATAGGAAAGTAAACTAGATAGAAGGAAATTGGGAAGGATACTGAGAAAGCCATAATTGCAGACAATGGAATCCATTTGACTGAACTACTTAAAGCAGAATGAAATTTTTTACACGGTGTTAGAAGGTTAACAGAAGCTTCATGAGGGCCAGAGAACCAGGTTAAATGCTTCACAGCTGGAAGTATTGAAATGGAGAGTGCAGCCAAACCCTGCAGTGGCACCATTCTAGCAGAAATCCTGCTACAGCACCACCTGCCTCTACCACCACTCTTGCTGGTTCCTGCTCCACCTGACTCTTGTCAATCAATGCCACATATTGAGAGTCTGTTCTTAGAACACTGTGTTGCTTCTTACCAATTTTGTGTTAGCTAGAATGCTTTTAATTACAATTGAAAGAGGCCATCTGTCCTTCCACTGAAAGTATTAAACCAGATGTTCACCTTATGTTCTGCCCTCCAAAAAAGATCTTCCTTCTTCACTGTGCTTCCAGAGCCACTCCTGCGTGGACCGTAATGCTGTAACAGTATAATCCTGGTTGGCACCAGTGTATCACGCAAAGTCCTCTCCCACATTCACCCTTTTTCTTCTTCAATGCATGTGTCATAGGAAACTCCTATGAAGCCATAAGTGAGGGTTGAGGGAGAAATACTGCATCAGGAGTAGACACACTGGGACATGTAACTTGTGCCTTCACTATCTACTGCTTCTCCTTAATAAGACGGTGGTGCTGGGCACAGCTGATTAGGACTTTATGGATTAGGTGAAATGTGGTTCATGATGAAGCTCGGGTTACATGGTCACTTGGCTTGCCTTTTCAGGCACCCATGTAAATGCATACCAGGGCCTATTTCTCAAAAGAAGAATGGGTGGTAAGAGCTCTTAGTCTGCTTCAAAACCCTAGAGGATGATGCCATGACTGCTCTATGAGGTCTTGCTGAAGGCTCCTTACACCATTTTTAAGACACTTTCAGCTCCATTAGATGAACACATTGGGTTCGAGGAAACTGTAGGCTTTAGCTATGATCCAAATGCCAGTGGCTGTGCTGATCTGATCCTGTAAGGAGACTTCATTTGTAATTGCTGTTGGAATTGCCACCCAGTTAAGCTTAAAATAATTTTCTTTCTCTAAAACCCATCTGTTTTGTTTTCAGACCAAACAGGTGAGTTAAATGGGTAGGTGATAGGAATGGCATGGATTTTATCCACATGAGTCACAAGCAGATCTCTAGCTGCAGTGGAGTCTGAGAAGTACTGTTTTAACTCTGATCTTTGTAGTAAGTTAGAGCAAACCAGATGGGTGTCAGAGAGAGGGCTGAGTCACCTATCTGTAAAATCTGCTGCAATAGCTAAAGATTGTGTTATCAGTCATTCCTAGCATCATGAAAGTTTGATCTGTCCTCTTTTGCTTCTTGGATAAGTAATGGATTCCCCTTTACAGAGGGACATATTGAATATATTCTTCGGTTGTGGTTCTCATGTCCATTTTTGAATATTTATGGAAAACAGAAAAGACAAGCTTCCTATTTTTCTAATAGGAAGCTCGCTCAGCTATTATGTCCTTTTTCAGAGATGTAGGCTTTTATTTGCAACAAAATAGAGTTTTTTTGAAAAGGGCAAGAAATATTACGCCAGAAACCAAATGACACCCAGTTGTAGCCAGCATGTTTGGAAGTTAAAGTTCCTCAGGCTAAAGCTAATTTAACCATCTTTTCTAAATTGTGCTGTAGCCCCACCGGTAGCAGTCATAATATTTATAATTTTTCATAAACTGGGAGATGATAAATGGAATGTGTTTTATTAGACTATAACTTGTTTGAGGTACCTTTTGCTAAGAATTAATTTCAGTCTTAGACATTTCTTCTATAATGAATCTTCTATATGGATATTTGCTTCATTAATTTAAAGAAGTGGTTTTAAAGGAAAGCAAATTTTACAGTAGTTTGTTTTCATTATCATGTTAAATATTTTTTCAGCTCCCTTGGAAGTCATTGACTAGCATCATTGAGTATTATTACATGTGGAAAACTACTGACAGATATGTGCAACAGGTAATTTTTTTGTATCGCTACCAATTGTTTTAAAGTAAACTTTCTATTTATATTTTAATATTTCTTAGCAATGTACTAGTTTTAAATTTTGTTTTGTTTGCTTTATCTTTTCTAGACTGTCTTTACATCTACATCTTTAGGGTATTTTTTTTTTTAAGATTTTAGTCTTAATAATTTCTTGACTTGCACATTCATTTTGATAAATATTTTGGAAAGATGACAGGGAAAGATACCACTAGGGAGGCATTATTTTCCACGCATGTGACTTGATTCATCTCTTTGTGAGTGTAGTTGATGGGGATTACCAAAGATGCACAAACCTCTCGAACAAGGTATTTTTATGAAGAATTAAAATTTAGACCAGTGCCATCAATTGTATATTTTGAGATATATATATATATTTTTTTGTCTTTTGTCTTTTTCCGTGTCCGGCAACGGATCGCAACCCTCAGTGTTGCCCCCGTACCTGACCGGGGACCGGCAACGGGATTGCAACCCTCGGTGTTGCTCCTGCGCCTCGCTCAGCCAGTGAGCGGCAACCGGTCTGTATGTGGGATCCGAACCCTCGGGCGGGAGCGCCGCCACACTTCCCAAGTGGCGCACTTATCCAGTGCGCCACCGGGCCGGCCCCTATTTTGAGATATTTTTAAAGGTCTTCTGGAACTTCCTTACGTGACGTTTGTATGGATGTATTCTTTAAGTCTTTGACCTTAACCGTAGTAGGTAGTCTTACTAGTTTGATATTTGGTACTGTTCATAAGATTTTTTCAAAAATTATTTCTAAAAATAAAATCATTTTGTTTTTGAGTCCTTCTCAAATGTTCTAAATTCAGGTTACTCTCTCAGCTATTTATTTTGAGTAATACTACCTTTGGAGAAAGGTACATTTTCCTGAAATGGCTTCAGTCAGTATTTGTTTTATTTTCTTATAGTCACATGTCAGAACTGATAAAGAAGGAGGAAAGCAGGAGCTGGCTGGTTAGTGCACTCGGTAGATGTGGTGCTGATGACACCAAGTCAAGGGTTCCGATCCCTGTACTGGCCAGCTGCCCAAAAAGAAAAAGAAAAGAGGCAAATATATTTAACACAGACATTTTTTTCCTAAAGATACAGTGGCAGGTATTGGATGTGGTAAAACTGCATTTTAAGGGTCATTTTAAAAAGTACCATAGTGAGTTGTTGAGGTCATGAATAGTGAATGTGCCCATGGCTTGTTTAAAAATTTCCACCGTGTCAACATCACATATAATTCAAAAAGTGCTTATTTCAAACAGGTAGAAATGAAGACCGTGTAGTCTGGAAACCTGTGTTGTTCAAATCAGAAACGGTCCCTAAAGATGGTGGAGGTGATGGCATCAAGGATGGTTGAAAGATATTTGCATAAAATTATTGCCAAAAACTTCAACTCTGTTCTGAAAGTTTTAAGTTGACACCCTAAATGTTTTTGTTTTCTCCTTATTGGGAAAAAGGAGGATAGCCGTATATTTTGGTTTGTCTGACTTTTGGACATCAGCCATATGTTACTTTTCTTCCCTATTTGCATCCGTTATCGTGTTGATCAGTTTCTAGATTTGGTTACATAATCTCCTTCCCATTTCTTTCCCTGCATTTGACTCCTAATTGGTTCCAGTAACATCTTGTGTGAGTTCAGTCAAGTTTTAAAGTTAATTGCATATCTCCCAACATTTGAGGATAAATGCTTATTTAATTCTACTTAGAATAGCCACAGTCTCTTGCATGGATTTTGGAAACTAATCATCTGTGAATATTCTTCTAAAAGCAAATATTGTGTGTTTTTTTTCCTCTCAGAAAGGCAAGTAAGAAGTATGAGGGTACTCCAGAAAGTTCAAGGAAAAATGAAAGATAATATGAATCTTTCCATGAACTTTTTGAAGACCCATCATAAAGTAAAAACTAAATTTGAAAAGTAAAAATGGTTACTTTAAAAGTCCTGTTTATTCACTCATGGAGGAATGGGAAATGGAGTTGTTCACTGTTTTATTTTTAAGATCTATGTCTAAAATGTACCTCAGCATCTATTGACTTTTCCTATAAGTTACTGCAGTTTAAGGATATGCATATGAAAGAAAGGCTTGTCTTAAAATGGTAATTTTTGAATTACGCTTTAATGTTTATATTCTTGTTACTTTTTAAGACAATGATGTAGTAATAATTGTTAGGCATTACATGTAAAATATTTTATCCATCTTTTGAATTAGAAACGTCTAAAAGCAGCAGAAGCCGAGAGTAAACTGAAACAAGTATATATTCCGACTTAGTAAGTAATTGAAATCTTTTAAAATGTTTGTCATGGTCTTAATTCTGTCCTTGCAAAATGTGTCATTTTGTTCAGATTCAGCCACATTTGAATTTCTTCGTGTATCTTACTTTCTTCCTCTATAAAGCATGAGACTTGCTTTCAATTATAGCATTGCAATGATATTTCAGAAAGAAAAAGGAGCTGGTGAGAGAACTTCCATGTAGACTAACATAAGGACTGGAGGAAGAACGCATGTATTGTACTTCTATTAAAGCTAAAAGGAGAGTGTCAGAAAACTAACCTATGAGACTGCGTTGTCTGAGAAACTAGTTTCAGAAAGCTAGCAGCTTTTGAAACTTCTACATTATAGAATGGATTTTGTTTGGGTAGTGTGCATTGCTCTTTTGAGGTCTGTTATTTATTTGGTTGAGAATTTTACATCGTTTTTTGGTTCTAATTACCATTAGAAATTCTAGTTACCATTAGAACCATACTTTGTAAATGTTTGATAAATAATGGGTATAGGTTTTTATTGTTTCAGGTGTCTAGCATTCTGTCATTATCCTTTGGGTTTAGAAATCATTGTCATATCAAAATGACAATTTTCATTTTTAATTAGGTGGCCATTATCTCATTGACAATAAGTTGTGGTCTTTCACGCTAATTTTTTATCAAGGCAGATAAGTGGCTTAATTTTAAAAACATGTAATTTACAGAGTCCATACTTTTGACAGTGAGCGCACTGGCCATCCTTATATAGGATCCGAACCCGCGGCAGGAGCACCGCTGTGGTCCCAAGCGCTGCACTCTCCCGAGTGCGCCACGGGGCCGGCCCATACATTGTGGTTTCTGATTCCTTTTAAATTATGTATTTTATTTGACCATTTTATAAAAGAGCCACTCCCCAAAGAAAATACTGTTGTGACTCATGTGTCTTAGATTTTCAAAAGCAAGCATACAGTCTTTCTTGTACTTCACAGTGCTGCCACTATCAAATGAAAAACACCTTTGACCAGTTTTGACCAAGTAACCCAGATAAGTGATTCTGTCCTACTTTACATTGACTTTCGAGTCTTGATCTAAGTCAGGGATCAATAAACTATATTCTGGCCGGCCTGGTGGCGCACTCGGTAGAGTGCGGCGCTTGGGAGCACGGTGGCGCTCCCGCCGAGGGTTCGGATCCCATATAGAGACCAGTCTGCTCACTGGTTGAGCGCGGTGCGGGCGCGACACCGAGGGTTGCGATCCCGTTGCCGGTTGCGGTGTGGGCGCGACACTGATGCGGGCGTGACACCGAGGGTTGCGATCCACTGGTTGAGCGCGGTGCGGGCGCGACACCGAGGGTTGCGATCCCGTTGCCGGTTGCGGTGTGGGCGCGACACTGAGGGTTGCAATCCCGTTACCGGTCACACAAAAAGACAAAAAGGGAAATAAATAAATAAATAAATAAATAGACTATATTCTGCAGGCCAAATCTGACCTACTTTGTTTTTGTAAATAAAGTTTTATTGGAACACAAATATGCTCATTCATTTATGTATTGTTTAACTCCACTTTCTTGCTACAGTGGCAGAATTCAATGGTTGCAACAGAAATTATTACCTACAAAGCTTAAAATACTGTCTGGCGCTTTACAAAAAAGGTTTTGCACCCCCTAATCTATGTGAATGATTTTTGGAAATCAAGACACTTTTTTTTTTTTTTGGTGGTTGGATAGTATAGGGATTGAACCCTGTACCTTGGTGTTCAAGACACTTTCTTTTTTTTTTTTTGTCCTTTTTGAGACCGGCCACACCACGCTCAGCCAGTGAGCGCTGTGAGCGCACCGGTCATCCCTATATAGGATCTGAACCTGTGGCGGGAGCGCTGCTGCACTCCGAGTGCGCCACGGGCCCGGCCCTGTTCAAGACACTTTCTAATCATATTTCTTAAAAAGTTATATAAATCATATACATAAACAGAAGAGATACAGCTCAGTTATTGAGTTGGATAAGAATCTGAATCCTTTGGAGTATTTCCAAATTAACTCTAAAATAGAATGTTCAAAAAAAAAAAAAAATTAAGTATTTTATTCTGTCATTTTTTTGAGCCTGCCAGTCTCCTATATTCCAACCACTCTGTTCAGTACAAGAGGTAGAAAGGTTAAGAAGACAGGCTCTCCTCTGGAGCTTACATTCTATTCTAGTGTGGGAGAGACAGACGATAAAAAACTGTAAGTCCCCTGGTGTGGTGATACCTATGATGGAGAAGAATAACTTAAGTGAGATTTTATAGTGGAGGGCCAGATTCAGTTGATGCCATCAGGAAAGCTTCCTTGAGGAAGTGAGTTCGAGTGCACTCTGGAGGTGGAGGAATTAACCAGATTGTGGAGGCTTTCCAGTTTAGTGGGATCCTGAGATGGGAAAGGGCAGAGCATAGTTGAGCAGAGAGAAAGGCAGTGTAGCTGGTATGAAATGAGAGAGTAGTGGGCCATGGGAGGCTGATATAGTAGGCGAGGGCAAGGAGTGAAGAGAGGAAATGGCTTTTAAAGAAAGAAGTGTCATCATTAGATTTATACTTTAAGAAAATCACTGGCTATATTTTGGAAAATGGTTTGGAGAGGAGGAGTAAGAGTAGATGTAGGGAGACCTGTTGAGAAGTTCTTGGAGAGGAAAGATGACACTAGCTTGACCTCGAGTAGTGGCTCTGGCAGTGGTGCAATATTTGGAGGTGATAGACTTGGGAGGGGGCATATCAAGTTCGAATCCGAGGTTTCTGGCTAACACAATTAGGTGGATTGCCGTGCTATTCCCCAACCTCAGAAGCTCAGGCAGAGTATCAGATTAGGTCATTCTGAGCTTGTTCTATCCAGACAGAGGTTTTGTGTATGCTGCCAATATATTGGATATATTGGTCTTAAACTCAGGGTAAATATCTGAGCTAGAAATTTGAGCTTCATCAATATACAATAATTGTGTTTGAAACCATAGATGAGATTTCTGAGAGAGAGCAATAAGATCAAGACCTTGAACCAAGCCTTGAATAAATCCAGTATTTATAGATCAGATAGAGTATGATAGTTAAAAAAGGATAGCCAGGTGAGTAGAGTATTACAGAAGCTGACAGAAGGGTGCGATTCAAGGAGACGGGAGATTAACAGTGTCGGATGCTGGTGAAAAATAGCCAGGGAGTTTAGCAACATGGAGGTCATTGGTGATGTTTAATGGAGTGCTGAAGACTACATATGAGCCAAGGAAGTGCATACAGTGGAGAGAGAGAAGCTCAAGTGAGAGCAAGCTCTTGGATTTGAGGGGTAAGTTGGGATAGAGTAATGGGAGAGTTTTTTAAATGGAAAAAAATAGGTGTAAATAGTATAAGGAGGGCCCAGGAAAGAGAATCAAGTATACAGAGTTCTCAAGAGGGCTGAAGTGTTGGAATCTGGAGCACGAATTGGAGAGCAGGGAAGGTTTGGGCATTAGATAAAAGGAGGGGCAATTTCTTAAAATGTATTTTTAAAACCTTTTCTTTGTTTGTCTTATAGTCACAAATTTTCAGTGACATCAATCATTTGCCCCCTGAGAATTAATGTACAGGTACTTGGTTTTGCAGAACATATTTTAAGTGATTCACACATCTATATGCTGTCTTGGCACACTTCCTTCCCTTTTGTGATCATTATAAGTAAGGCCAGTGGTTTAGTCAATCAGATAACATGATAAATTGAGTTACTTGCTCAACTGAATCTGTGTTTGCCATCATTTGTTTTTAAGTCAGCTCAACTGTAAATTCGTATTAGCTCTTTTTCGACACATATATTTAGTTCTGGGTTAAATGTCAGAAATTTTTCAGGGCCGGCCCCGTGGCTCACTCGGGTGAGTGCGGTGCTGTTAGCTCCGAGGCCGTGGGTTCGGATCCTATATAGGGATGGCCAGTGCGCTCACTGGCTGAGTGTGGTGCGGACGACACCAAGCTGAGTGTTGTGATCCCTTTATCGGTCCAAAAAAAAGGTCAGAAATTTTTCATATTTCTGGGAAACCTCTGGCCCGTCATTTGACTTTAAGAAGTGGTCATTTATTTATTTTTATTTTTATTTTACTATTATCTTATTTTATTTTTTTAAAAGATGACTGGTAAGGGGATCTTAACCCTTGACTTGGTGTTGTCAGCACCATGCTCTCCCAAGTGAGCTAACCGGCCATTTCTACATAGAGATCTGAACCCATGGCCTTGGTGTTATCAGCACCATACTCTCCCAAGTGAGCCATATGCCGGCCCTTTATATATTTTTAAAAATTGGAAATATTATTACATATCCTTGGAAATCTTAGTCATTCTAAATCATCACTTTTCGTTTTGTACATTTTTAGCTGGAAACTATAAGAAGAGAAGTACCTTCTGATAAAATGTGCTTTTAAAACCAATTTGTCTTCAAAATGCATTGCTGACACTGGTTAGAAGTGTAAATAATAGCCCTGGTTTATAGAATAGGGAACTCAGTGTACACAGAGGTTAAATGATTTCTTCTGGTGGTGGTGGTGGTATCACCTGAGAGTTATAGTAACAACACCAAAAATAAATCTTAAAAGCATCTTTGCTGTCAGGTCAGACCAGGTTTATGCAATCGAATTGTGGGAAGGGGAAGCCCCTGAGCATACTCTCTGGAGATTCCATGTGTCTTGGTGGTTGTGATGTCTCATTGCCTCAGTAGCCACGGGAAGACAGAATATAGTCTGCACCTAGACATTCAGCATTCGTTTCTAGAAAATAATTTGCTAGTTTATTTTGTTCATTTTCTGCTTAGCAAATAGACATGAGTGGTCCTCCAGAATGAAAACTCTTTGAGGTCAGAGACTTTTGTTTACTAGACACTGAATAAATAATATATACTTGTGTTTGTTTGTTTGTTCGTTTTTGGTGGCTGGCTGTTATGGGGATCTGAACCCTTTGACCTTGGTGTTATAACACCATGTTCTAACCAACTGAGCCAACTGGCATGAAGAAATATACGTTAAGTGAATTATGAGTTTATTGAGGACATAGTATGTACACCAGTGCAGTATGCTTGGGCTTGGCCTATAAGCTGAGGAGTTAGCCTACTCTAGATAGGGAAAAGTTAGTCATGTTTGCACAGTAAGAACCAAGATAATCTGGGGTACATGTTTCCAAGGAATTAATGGCTCTGTTGACTTGTTCTCTGGGAAATTTGCATGTAGACTTCTGAAAGATGTCTATTTCCACCTGAATGTTTTCTTAAAATGAAAAACCTCAAAATACCTTTATTGGCTTTTCTAATTTCAAGTGCTTTGTAATCTTCCTCATAAAAATTCAAACATAGCAGAAATTATTATCATGAACAGTCAGAAGCTCCTGAAATGCTTGCTAGCTTACCTCTAGGGATAGGCCCTATTAAACTCTGCTGCACAGGTATCTCTGTTGAGCGCGTTGCTTTTGTGTAGATCCCTTGAGAGCTAGTATATAGAGTTGGTAGCACTCACACCAGCAGCAAGAATGGGACAGTGGCTCTCCCTAAACACAACAAAGCTGCCCTTAGCTTAATTTACCTGATCCAAAAAATTACTTTATTTTCTCAGGATAATTTATGATAAGTGATAAAGCTTAATAACTTGTATCTTTCAAAAGCGTCAGAGGTTGTTCAAGGAAATTGTATTTGGATGGCGAAGAGATATGGATACATTTATTTTGTTAGTGTCAGGTGTAAGAGATTAGTTTTTATATAACATGTTTTGTAAAGATGAGTGGTTTGGGTTCATTTTATCACCTTGATTTTACCAGTTTTTTTCCTCACAAACATTTAAAAATGTTTATTTACGTTTAGTTAAGATAAATTAGTACTGAGATGTAGAGCTTTCTGTCTTGTTATACAAATCATTTTATGACTTCACTTTACATTTCACTGAAAGCAGCAAACCAAATCCCAACCAAATATCCACCAGCAATGGCAAGCCTGGCGCTGTGAATGGAGCTGTGGGGACCACGTTTCAGCCTCAGAATCCCCTCTTAGGGCGAGCCTGTGAGAGCTGCTATGGTAAGTTTTCTCCAGCAGGGCTTTTTTTTCTTGTGTGAGGCTTGTCATCGGTTAAGTACAGGGAACTGTTCTGACACCACGGTATGGGAGTTGTTGAGAGGCTCCTGGAAGGTGCGGGGGTCAGTACTGGGCTGAGGGCAGAGCCATGTCTCCTCAGAGTAAGTAGATGCCCATCTTTACCTTCTGTATGGAAATAAAGGGGCCATTCATTGAATCCTACTATTTACCACACACTAAAGTTAGGCATTGGGTTTCCTTTGGCTTATTTCTGTGAAGTCCCATGTTTGTTGAGTACTCCATGGCAGTATTTGCTAACTGTGTTCAGAGTTGTATTAGCTTTCCGTAACCGTGGTCCAGTGATACATATCAAATTCCCTTTTGGAGTTTCTCAGTATACTTTGACAAATTAAAGCACCAAACAATTCTGTAGGAAAGACCTGTGTGTGGATAAACTGCTATTTAAAATCCTCAAACCAGGTTCCCTGTGGGCATCAGTTTGGGAGATGCTCTTCCATGATATTTGCTTTTGGCCACAGGGCCCAGCTGTATGTATTAATCTATGATGGCAGTATTATAATTTGCCCTGGGTGTTAAATGGGGTTGGTGAGATGAACTGTTAAGTAGTTGATACACTTTATACGTTTATTTAAAATCTCAAGCAAGAATATAGTCTCTTAATGGAGTATTGGTGATGTTATCTATGTTTCCTTCTAATCAAGGTGGCCAGGGGTGTGAGAAAGGAGTAAATTAATGTTTACTGGAAGTTTGCTTGGTGCCCAGTTTTTGGCTCTCAGCAGCTCTTTGGGGATGGATGTAGCCTACTGCCTTAAGGACATAGGAATTGAAGGGACGTTTGTGACTGCTTCACACCAGGCTGCAGCATTAGAAAAGGCTTTTAAAACCAAATCGTATAAGTATCTCTCCTGATCTCAAGGAAGGTGTGAGCCAGACAAATTGCTGGTATCTTAGAAATGGTGCCAGGGGGATGTGTCTAACCATTTTCTGCACCTTGGGAGCACAAAGGGAAACAATTTGTGGAAAACTAGATTCTTTGAGTCAAGATTTTACATGGATAGCATCATAAATGTCTTTGAATTGAGAATTCCTTGGATATTGAAGTTTATGTATACTTAGATGGTAATAAAAAGAACCCTGCAGAAAAAATGGTAGTGGCTTAATCAGCCTTTTTTTTTTGAAGGGGAGGCTGGTCGGTACAGAGATTGAATCCTAGACCTTTGTTCTATCAGTGCCATGCTCCAACCAACTGAGCTAATCGGCCAACCCTAATTTGTCTTATTTTTGACTTGCAAACCACTTTCACACTCACATGTATTCCTCCAAATAATAATTCTGTTATTTTTATGTGTGCATGACAAATAAATGATTTCAATTTTATAATATTTATTTAGATTCATATATTATTTTAAGCAATCTTCATCATAAAATGTGTCAATATACTATACATACATGATTTCTCTTTATAGAAATATAGAATTTGTTGTTTTCTATTTATCAAATGATACTTTTAAATTAAATTTAAGTATTTAAGGAGAAAGGCATTTATTGATAAATTATTAAAATGACATGCCATGATTAGTTTGGGTAAAAATATACTTTTATATATGGGGATCCAAACCCTTGACCTTGGTGTTATCAGCACCACATTCTCCCAAGTGAGCCACAGGCCGGCCTGAGTAATTCTCAAATACCAGACCCTATAGAGCAGGAAACCCTTGAAATGACTGAAAAGGAATTCTGAGCAACAATCTTAAACTCACTGAGGCAGGAGAAGATTCAGTTAGACAGCACAAAGAAAGAAGAAAAAAAATACAGGATACGAAGGAGGAAATTTACAAAGAGATTAATACGTTAGAAAGGAATGTAAAATTTTAATACAGGTGTTTTCAAGTATAAATTTTCCTTTAAGGGCTGCATGAATCCTGCATCCTATAAATTTTGAATTATTGCACTTTGATTTTTATTTCAAAGTACTCTCTAATTTCCCTGTGATATTTCTTTTTAATCCATTGCTTATTTAGGAGAGTGTTGTTTATTTTGCACACATTTGTGAATTTTCTAAATTTCCTTCTGTTATTATGGTCAGAGAACATATTTTCTATGATAAGACTTGTTTTGTGGCCAAAAATTAAAAAAAAAAAAATCTCTAAGGCCATTATCCTTAGGGTTTGGTAATGTAATATGGAGGAAAAAATATATCAACCTGACTTATTATTTGTTTTAAATTATAAGAGGATAGGTTTTTAGGCTTCCTTTGCTAGGAATCCTCCAAAAACAACACATGATGAGTGTAGAGTATTATTCCCAATAAACTAAAAGTCAGCTTGCACATAATGGTCCCTTCTTTTCTTGTTTTGACTCTCATCCATGAGATGCTCCTTGAGAGCATGATGTACTGTTTGAACGTTTTGATCTGATGAAGGTAACTTGCACGTCAGAGGAAGAATATTCCAAGGCAAACTTAAGAAGTATAATAATTTTTTGTACGTCATTATAGCTTAATGTTCCAACATTAGTGTTTTTTATTTTAAACTTCAGACCCATCGTGGGTATACGTTAAACATTATGTGCCAATAATTTAGACCGCAAAACAAAACATAGGCTTGCAGTGTGCAGCCAAGTGATAAATCAACTGAGTTTTAGGTCTGAAGCATGTGGTGAGATCAGCCGCAGATGCGCACTTGATATGGATTTATAGTATTGAAAGAGATTCTGTTTTTAAAGGCAGAAATATTAAAAATAAGTATTTTATCTTTTCGATTAAAATAAAGGAATGGAAAACAGACACCTGTTTCTTTCAGATTCTTGACTTTACTAATGGGGCTCCTCTGAGCACTTTAAATAAAACCTGAGGTGGTTTCTGAACCACAGGTTTGGAAACCTGAATTTAGGTTTTAAATACTAATAATAGTAATAATATCTTTCTGAGAACTTATTTCCAAAAATGTACACAGTAAAGAATATTTTTAATTAACAAAACAGCAGCACAATGCATAATATAGGATATTTCATCTCATAGCCTCTCTTAGTAGATGCCACGGGCATTTAATATATAATAGAAATGAATGACTTAATGAATTCTGGGTATTAAAATATATATGTATATATCATACTTCCATGTATAGCTTGTAAGCTGGGGAAAGAAAAATAACATTGTAAACTAAGATGGCTTTGGAATATTTTTGAAATATTTGATTATATTTGTATTGATGTAAATTATATAGTATTCGTTGTTTCTTCTTATTTTTTCCTCCATCTTTAGCTACACAGTCTCACCAGTGGTATTCTTGGGGCCCACCTAATATGCAGTGTAGATTATGTGCAACTTGTTGGCTCTATTGGAAAAAATATGGAGGCCTGAAAATGCCCACCCAGTCAGAAGAAGAGAAGTTATCTCCCAGCCCAACTACAGAGGTACATAAGCAGTAGTCTTTTTAGTGTTGAAAAATGTCACGCTTTTCAGTGGCTGGATCATTCCTTGGAAACATTAGTACAGTATAGGATTAAAATGAACAAAGCTATTTTTATATCCAGACACAGCAGCATTATATTCAGGGAAGCAGGGAGAAATAAAAAATTTTCAGGTATTCAAAATATTGGTTTTGTGAGATTACTTAGACAAAAGAACAATGTGTGTGGGAGGTGTAAAGAGCCTACAAATTAAATGTTTAATTGCTTTTGAAAACAGTGCGTATGGGCCGGCCCGTGGCTCACTCGGGTGAGTGCGGTGCTGATAACACCAAGGCCACGGGTTTGGATCCCATATAGGGGATGGCCGGTTTGCTCACTGGGTGAGCGTGGTGCTGACAACACCAAGTCAAGGGTTAAGATCCCCTTACCGGTCATCTTTTAAAAAAAAAAAAAAAAGAAAGAAAAGAAAAGAAAACAGTGCGTAACCTTTAGATACTGTTGAAAATGTGTCTTAGTGCATAAAGTTACAAATACAAATTGAGGATTTTTTTCTTCCCCTGGCTATTGCGGAGGGTCAGGAAGTTATGGACTTAGTTTTAAGGTGAACAGTAGTTGAAATATGATTTTGGTAAAATTTTCATAGATTGAAGATGTCAATCATCTATGTCTAGTCTACCAGAGGGAGGCTTTTTTTTTTTTTTCAGTTCTGATGGGATCTCAGGACTCCTTGACATTAAAAAAAAAAAATCTACTTAGCCTCCTTGGCATTTTCCTACTATTGTGAATGTGATTTTGGATTGTTATACAAAAGTACAGTATTACACCTCCCACCCACTTCTCTTCTCCAATCCCCACCTCTTTCCCCAAAGTGCACATTTTTTGTGTCTCTCTTTTAGAGGTAGGGTACTAAGTTACAGACACTTCAGTGGAAGATGTAAAACCTGCCCTTTGCTTTGAGCATAATGCCTGTAGTAATGTGTTTTGGCAAGTTCTATTCTTTAAATGTTGGTTTCTGATCTTGCAGGACCCCCGTGTTAGAAGTCACGTGTCCCGCCAGGCCATGCAGGGGATGCCAGTCCGAAACACTGGGAGTCCAAAGTCTGCAGTGAAGACCCGCCAAGCTTTCTTCCTTCATACTACATATTTCACAAAATTTGCTCGTCAGGTCTGCAAAAATACTCTCCGGCTGCGGAAGGCAGCAAGACGGCCGTTTGTTGCTATTAATTATGCTGCCATTAGGGCAGAATGTAAGATGCTTTTAAATTCTTAACATTATATGTTGTGCTTCAGACCATTTTCTCTCTTTCCCTCTCTCTCTTTTTTTTTTTTGTTTGTTTGTTTGCAATAAACAAGTTCTTGTGTACAGCCTTTTATTTGGTTTTTTTTTTTTTAACATTGTTTTTGTCTGTTGCCATTTGTATCATGCCAACCTGAAAAAAACACATTGAAACCTTTGTAATCTTTATCAGGGAGTAGTGCTCAGCAAAAGGTTGGCGGGAGGTGATTTTATCCAGTGGGGTTTGTGATGGAATTGCCAAAGAGCCCTTATTGAAGCACTTTTACCTGTTGGGTAGTGCCATAATATAACCCCTAAGGATGGTGTTATAATGAAACTCGGTAATTGAGACCGTGCAGTCCAGTGTTATATGGATTCATTAAGTTTAAATAAAATTTGCCAGTTTGCACTCATTAGAAATTGTATGTCTTTGTAAACTTCTCATTTTTCCATGAGCCTTTTATAGTTGTCATACAACATTATGGAAATTCATAACAAGTGCTATATTTATTAGAAGATGTAGCAAATTATAAATAAACTTTATAGTTGTTTTTTGGGTGAATTTTCTGAAAGTTCACATTTAGTTTTTATAGCTAGCATCTAAATTTGTGGTTGAGCAGTCTATTTGTCCAATTTGGTTTCCATTTCATAATCACGTATCATATATATTTCCACATAACATTTACATGACTTATTACTATTATTTTCAGCACATTCAGTCTTGCTTATGTTCATTTTTTCATTAGGACAAACGTCATATGTACCAATGAATTGTGGATTGTTCTTTTATTACCATGTGTCTGAAAATGTGTGCACATTTGTATGTTAGCTGTTGGAGTCATGTTCCTGGCTAGCATGCAACTTTTTTCCCTAATGGTTGAGCAAACTTGCTGTCTGACTTAACAGATAGGAAATCTTAAAGACATCCAAGTGCTTTTTTCTTTATCTGTGAGATAAGAAATCTCTTATTATGAGATGCTCTACTTTGATTTAAAGAGGATATCCATAAAGGAAGTGATGACTGAAAAGCATTTTTTTGTTCCTAAAGATAATTTTAAGCAGAACAGTTGAAAGACTTTAAAACTTACAGGTCAAAGCTCTATGAGAAGAAAAGTGCTTTGAAAAGGGAGTGGAAATTAGCCACATTGGATTCATGTATATTTGAGAATTCAGGCTTATATTTAGGTTTTGTGTTAGCATTTCTGAGTTCCTGGACTTATGTTATCACTTTCTTACCCATATTAAGGAACTGGAAAATAAATATTTACATTCATTCAAACTGTTTAGCTGATTTAAAACACATACATTGATATATAATTTCTTTTTTTTTTTTTTCCTTTTTGTCTTTTTTCATGACCGGCAACGGATCGCAACCCTCAGTGTCGCGCCCGTACCGGACCAGGACCGGCAACGGGATCACAACCCTCGGTGTTGCACCCGCAGCTCACTCAGCCAGTGAGCGGCCAGTCTGTACGTGGGATCCGAACCCTCGGCGGGAGCGCCACCACACTCCCAAGCGGCGCACTGTAGCAGTGCGCCACCGGGCCGGTCCTATAATTTCTTAAATAAAAAGAATTAATAAAACTTTTGAGAAAGAAAATAAATGAAATTTTTCATTAAAATTGGCTGGGATCTAGTATTATCTTTGTTACTATGAATGGAAAAGAAACCGTCACCAACTTAATTGGCTGCTGAGGAAGCTTCTGTTTCCTGTGCTGTCTTAATTGTCAGTTAATTTGTACATCGTCTTTTTTTTGACTATTCTTCAATGAAGTATGTTTTTCTGTCACCTCATTCTAATTTTTTTTCTCAATTGAAGGGCCATGCTGCTAAAAAAGGATCAAGATTAAATTACCTGTATTTTATTTCTACAAGCATATAGAGAATAACAATAAAAGAACAGTCATTTGTTGTGATGAGATTCAAAGAGCATATATTATTTCATTTTATTTTGTATTTAGCTTCATTGGTCATTGAGTTACATATAGAATCAGTTTCTTGGAATAATTTTGCTTTGAGATTTAAAATGACAGTGTTTCAGCAGTGATCTGCTCAGTTATCTTGTCTTTTCAGACAAGCAACTAACTCATTCTTTTCCTGGCATCTACTTGATTCTTACATCATCTCCCGTATATGTACCTTGTTACAACCTCTTCGGCAGATCCCTTGATCTTGGCTTGTTAGTGAGATTAGGTGTTAATATCCTGATGTCCCTGGGCAAGTATGTCTGTAGTCCACTGGGAGCATATAGGTGGTTTTTTGTTTGTTTGTTTTCATTTTTCTTTGGTTTCTCAAAGGCACTGTTGATCCCTTCCACCCCCACCCCCACCCCCCAAAAAGTTAAGAATCCCTATGATGGAGTATGAATGTACTTTCAGATCAGGTGGAAGTTTGTAATTCTAAAAATATTGATGGATTAAGAGTTCTAATAAATGCATTTTAGAATAATTCATCATTATATTGGGAAAAGAAAGTAGTTTTCCTTATGAACTTGAGACCCTTCTCTTACAAGCCCTGTAAAAGTTGGCCCCTTCCATGGCATCTGGCCTTGGCAGTACCTTCACAACCAGTGTCATAACCAGAGTTTATGGGATGACACACTGCATAAGAATGAAGTGAGGAGCTACTGAGATCAGCTCTTGAGTAGGTGGGGGAGAGCGTGATCCTAGCTATAAATTCTTGATTTACAAGGTAATCAGTGCTTAGAGGACACTTTTTTTGGTTGGTTACAGCAACACTCTTTGGCCTTTATTTTCATTATGAAACCTGTATTAAGGCATATAGTACAGTAAAAAAGGGAATGCTTGTATGTGCATAAAATAATCTCAGGATATGTAAGAAGTAATTATAACTGGGAAGGGAAACTGGGAGGCTGAGGGAAAGGGGTAGGAAGGAGTTTTACCACTGTTCATCCTTTTAAGCTTTTTCAATTTGAGCCATGGAATATATTTCCTATTAAAAAATATATGTGTATGTGTGTGTATATATATATATATATATATATATATATATATATATAT